AGGGTCAGAGAGCTCTCAGAAATAATCAAAAATATCCTAATTTGTGTTCCGAAGATTGCACTTTTCTGAGAATATTGAAGAGGAGATCGCTAAACTGCAAGCTTACCGCTGTTTTCAGAAAGCAAGCGCGTTTATCCACAGTGGAGAGAGATCGCGTGTGCACAGGGTTGCCAGGTTGACAAAGAGAAGTAGCAGATTTAGCAGATATTTCCGTATTGCGCAAGTGTGAAGCTCTGTTTTGGGGATTACGTCTCTTTATATCAGGCAACCCAGTTGTGTTCCTCTGCGGCCAGATTAAACCTTGCTGTAGCCTCTATTCATTCTTTTTTAGAAACCTCGCACTTCTCTACTCAATTTTAAACGTTGTAAAATTTTAAACAAATTAAGCGCGGTCCACTGCTGCACACGTGCCACAATATCGATACAGGGCCAGCTGTATCGATACTCGTATCGTCAAATCTCTGTGATGATACATCGTCGTATCGATATTTTGAACACAGCACTAATGTACCTACAGAAAGCTGCTTGATTTGAAAATGGCTTAAATATGAGCTGTACTTCATGCATCACAACAGTATTGACAATGGTCAATGAAACCTTTTTGCCCACCAAGTTTCACATTAATTTTGCCAATGTGACTGCACCTTAAACAGTTCACTTAACAGTTCTTTCAGGACAGCTTTCTGTAATTTTCTGCAGAGTCATCTGAGTAATTAGCAGTTGCCATGTATGCCTTGTCTTTACTTTATCTTGTTGTGATGTGTTTATTATGTGCGAAAGGTCATTCGGATTACATTTCAAACGTTTGTGACCTGGTGATCTGCAGAAACCAGCCTGTGTTTCCACTGAGCTGACTATTTTACTGCATAACCTGCCCACAAAACAACCATAGCTCATCATGGCCAAGTGTTAAGAGTTTTGAGCAAGTATTTTAACATCCAAGTCACTTAAATTCAGCATCACAAGCTGTTTTTGATGGAAAATACAGAAGTTAATATAATTTTAATATACATGTATACACAGGTGGCCAAATTTTTGGAGTAATTAATGCCAACTCTGAATCAACATAAAAACTGCCAAATTTTCTTTGTATGATCACATCATATAATCAGTGCTTAAATGTGTTCCTGCTTAAATTAATACTAACTGCATGATTTGGATGATCTTAAAACTATACATTTCTGCCATATACTGTAGATATTAAACCTTTGATAACAGAGCACTCTTAATTGTAATGTAGAAACATTAATTTTTTGTGAAGCTGCTTTGAAACGATATATATCGTGGAAAGCACTATACAATTAAATGTGAATTGAACTGATTTATTTGATCAAAATTGCACTAAAAGTTGTAATATTGAGAAATATTATTACATTGTAGTAGAGCTGTTTTTTATTTGAATACATTTTAAAATGTAACTTATTCCTGTTATGGCAAAGCTGAATTTTCAGCATCATTACTCCAGTTGTCAGTCCTGTGTCTTGTTTTGCTCCCCACGTGTTCCGTGACCCAGTTTTCCCATGTCGATTGTTTCCAATTTGATTCCAGGTGTGTCTCGTCTTGCCCTGATTAAGTTGTATATAAAGTGTGTTCTGAGTAGGCTTGCCGCGATAGACTGTGCTGACGGTGATACCGTTGTTAAGACGCAACACCGGTTACGTCACTTGCCCACCGCGTCACCGACCCCCACCGTCGTTTTGATTTTTTATAGTAATAAAAAATCATTTAGTTCAGTAAAAGAACAGACACTACAATTAAAAACTGAACGCAGCTGCTCAATGCAGCGTGCCGAACGACAGTAGCATCACAGATCAGATTTCATTTCTCCAGTGAGTCGAGCTGACTGACAAGAAGAGTGGGGTGAGACCGACAAGACGATCGCGGATGATTTAGTTTCGAAACGAAATGCAAAAGCGCCTGTTTGGCAAATGTTTTGGGATTTTAAAAAGCCTGTTGACTTTTTTGCCGTTTATCTAAGGTGATTTTTAAAATTTTTTAAAACATTTGTTTCTAATTTAATTGGTTCCACATTGTTTGCTGATTTTTACTTTATTTAAACTTTGTGTCATTTATTTATTTTATTTGACATTCGTTTTGCTAATTTTCCTGTCCGGTATTGAATGTCGTCTTTCCCCCGCTACGTGTGTGTTCCTGGTTCCTTTGATGTCCATTAAAAGTCTCTTTGTTTGAAGTATACTCCACGTCTCCTCGTTCCTCGCTCCGTGTTCCTCACAGTAGCGATTCGTGATACCAGTCTTCAGTGTCACATGATCCTTCTGAAATCATTCTAATATGCTGATTCGGTGCTCAATAATGTCTTATTATTATCAATGGTGAAGATGGTTTTTGTTGCCTAATGTTTTTTTGTAGATCAGGTGACATGTTTCTTGTGTACCAAATTTCTGAAGGATCATGTGCCACTGAAAGCTGGAGTAATGGCTGCTGAAAATGTTCACAGTATTACTGTTTTTATTGAATTTTTGGCTGAATCAATGCAGCTGTGGTGAGCGTAAGAGACTTCAAAAATATTATACAAATTAAAAAAAAAAAAAATTGGTAATTATTCCAAACTTTTAACCGCCAATGTAAGGATAAAATAAAGGGCACTCAATTTAAATAAAACAATTTAAAAATAAATGAGCAGGGAAAATAATGTCACCTGAGCTACTTAGCAGCATGACACAGGAACTGTACTTGCATGCCTAATGGTTATAAATAGGCTAACTTCAGCTCTTTTAAACATCAGATTTGTCATATTAAATGACATTTTATAAATTATTTATTGTATTTATTGTCCTTTCTCCTCCCACAGAGACCCTCCCCAAGAAGAAGCAACAGTCCAGACAAATTCAAGCGGCCCACACCCCCTCCTTCCCCCAACACGCAGCCTGGCATCCATCCCCCACCTCCCCCTCCACCCGCCGTGCATCCGACATCATCCCAGGCAGCTCCACTGCAGCCGCAGCAGTCCTTGCAGCCATAGATCAGGGACTTGAAACAGAGCTGCTTCACTGTAACATCCCTCAAGCCAAAGGCTTAACAATCCTCAATGTCTTCATTCTCTCGCTCTGAAACCATTCATCTGTGTTGTGCTCATAGTTCTGTGTTTGGAAGCGTTTTTTGTGTCCACTAAAGATGGTGTGTGAGGTGAAGGCATTTCCAGCTCAGAGGGAATGAACATCTCTTCAGTGCATAGCACAGTTTTAGCAAGTACTTACTGCTTTGTCATCAGTGTGTGTCAAGCGATCTACGCCCATAGTGATCTCTTAGAAATTGCTTGGTCATAGACGGACAAAAAATACTATTGAGGAAATTATGTGGTCATATATTTTTCATATTTTTCAGACACTTTAAAAGTGTCATCCAGAGTGGTCCAGCCACAAGTGTGCTTCTGTACTCCAGATGGAATCGTGGTCAAAGCAGCTAATGGCCCTTTAAGGATAAAACTGCGGCCCAATAACACTTTTGAATTCTTGGTTAATAATTCATAGGCTAGTGTCTCAGAAAGTGAAAAAAAAAAAAAAGAATCATCCTGCTTATGCAGCAATATGCTTTTGGTAGTTTCTTCATAAATACATTTGGAAAGCAAGGCAGCAACATATTTTGCATTAGTGATGAGAATTATATATATATATATATATATATATATATATAAAATTATTTTTCCCCCCACAAATTTCCATCATTGTAATGGGGAAAAAAATAAATAA